AACTAAAAAAAAAGGAGGACGAAACTAAAAAAAAAGGAGGACGAAACTAAAAAAAAATGACAACAAAACAAAAAAAATGATGACAAAACAAAAAAAAAGAAGGACGAAACTAAAAAAAAGGAGGACGAAACAAAAAAAAGGATGATGAAATAAAAAAAAGGACAACAAAACAAAAAAAAGAGTCTAAAAGAAGACCTAATAGAAAACCTAGATAGAGAGAAGATAGTCCTAAAAAAAAGATGAAAAAAAATATGATATAACCACACACAAACCCAACCCACACTCTCTAAAGGAAGACGTAAAGAAAATGGCCTAAGAGATAGAAGACATAATAAAGAAAAGAAGATAGACCTTGAAAAAAAAAATGACGAAAGTATAGTGTGTATATATAATATTGTTAGCTGACGAAAAAAAAGATGATGAAAAAAAAAGGGGGTATTAAGGGTATATAAATACTTTTTCGAATACACAGTGACTATAATAAGATAGTTAGGGAGTATAGTATCATGCATAATACAATTGTTTGACAATACAATTGTTTTGACAATGAAAAAAAAACTGGAAATAAAAAAAAATTAATCCTCCGATATACTGCGGCTGATCGCATCATTTTTTTTTTCTATTTTTGGTCCTCTTTTTCAAACCTGAAAAAATAAAATTTTTTAATTACTAGTAATTATTAAAATAATATACATAAACTAATCAAAAATTAACATTATTTATTACCGGCCGGATAATACAAAGATTCGATACAATTTTTATGATACCAATATAATCGGAGTTAGGTATTCAAACATCCATTTAACTCATTAAATTGGTAAACAACTGAAAAAAAAATTATCATGGACAAAAACTGGTAGAACACCGCCATACCGCCCATACGTTCAAAAAATTCGTTCTGACAAGAGGATAAAAAAAACTCCTCCAAAGTTTTGTCCTAATTGTAATGAAATAAGTAAATTCGTTTATTTACTTTTTAGTAAAGTAAATAAAATAGAAGAAATCATAAATAACTGAAAATTTTTTAAAAACGACGACCCTTTTGAGTACGCTCTTTATTGTTCTTAACAATTGGGACCCTATGGAATTAGATTCATAGGGTTCTTGGAACTTGGACGGTAAGTAAAATGTCAAAATTTAGAAAACTTATAAAAATTCGTAATTCTTACAACTAGAAATTACAATAAGAATGAAATGTTTGTCTTCTATCTATTATAGTGAAAATATTGATTGCAAAAATGATGATAAATGACCAATAAATATTTTTAATATTTACAATTTTATAATTTAATCAAGGCAAAATCGACAATCGACAAACGCTTTCGGGCAACTGTAAATTTATTCGATAATTTATTACAAGCATAATTCGTTTTTCGTTTCATGTATTACGTAACGTTCATCTCCGCACCGGCATTAGCGAATATTTGCGGGCTGAGTTTCATGCCATTTTTAATTCTGCCCAAAATTCTGATAAAATGGTTTTCAATAAACGATTTATCTTTTTGATTAAAAAAAAGTGATCCCTATTATCAAAAAAATTATGGGCAAACGCGGAACATCTCGTCTCGACAATAATTCATGTGAGATCGGTGTTCTGCAGGTTAAAAAAAAAAAACAAATTTATAAGGCGCAGCTAAAATAATAATTTAACGGTTTAAAAGTGAAATTTTTGATCCCAAAAATTATGAATCATCTATCATAATTATGCTTGTAATTAAATAAAAGAGAAAACTTTAGAAGAATAAGCCAAAGAGAGATAAATATATTGTATATACCGTTAATTAAAAGAGTGATAAGCACAAAAAAATAAATAATATTTTGATACGTCAAAACCGTACAAATGACGCAACTTGAACTACATCTTCACCCAAAAATACTAAAAAATGCGCCCAATTTCAATTCAAGATACTGTATGATTGTCAAAATTTCTCTTAGTCAATTTACTCAATCACTTTTTTGTTTAATTTGTGTTTTATATACACGTTAATTGCTTGGTCAATTTACTTTTAAATCTCTTTTGTTTCAATTTTATTTTTACCTTTTATCACTTTTGATTAACCGTGTAACGCTGGTAAATTTGCTAAGAATTAAATACAGAAATACTCACCAAAAGGCCACGGTTTTTAAAGTAAATTATTGAAATATATACAAATTACATAAATAATTAAAACTTACGAAACTACGAAAGTTGAAATCTTGAAAGTTATCAAAATTTTTATTTTAAGAAAATGACTCACGATACTTCCACTAGTAAAGCTCTCGATGATTATGATTTATTGGGACGTAGTGGATTAAGAGTTCCTCAATATGTCTTGAAACTTCGATAAGAACATTTTTTAAAATTTGCCAAAATTATGATATAAATAATTAGTTATAATATTTAATAACATTATATATTGTTAACATATATTTGAAGACTTTTGGAGAACAATGGGTAAGTTGAATATTAATTTGAATTAGTGATTAAAAAAGAAAAAAAAATGATTTCTCAATATTTTAACGTTATATAAATAGGGATATGGTAGTAATAAAGAGGAAATGAAAAAAGTTTTTGATCTTTATTATGAAAAGGGCGGAATTTTTTTTTGTTTTAGTTACGCAATCAGTTGACTTTATCTTTAGATACCTACATGAAGTAAGTAATAAAAAGGCAAATGTTTTTAGTTAAATACAATAATAATATTTATTAATAAAATACTCAGAGTGAACGTTTCCTCGGTGATTATGTTTCGATAAACGATCCGATGTTGTGATTACAACAAACTGTTTATGTAATATCTTTAATTTTAGTTGAATTTCGATAATTTTCAAAATTTGAAATTTAATTCTTAGTGCTATACAAAAGGATAAGAGATTCAATCCGAATAACGTCCTTATAAAAAAAAAATTCTGGAAAAAACTTACATTTTTCTAGTTTTTATTCCGAAGAAACTCAGACACATGATCATTTGTCTGAAAAATTTTTTACAGGGACGGCAAATTAATTGACAACTTATATATGTATATTTAAGAGGAAATCACCGAAAGAGTCTTATAGAAATTTAGATGAAAGTTTTAAACGGTTAAATATGAGTTATGTTGATATTTTATATGTTCATTGCTATTCCGATTGAAGAATTTATGAGATCGTTAATCGTTTTTAATTCAAAATAAGTTTGTTCTCTAACTGAAATATTATTAAAAAATAAATATTAGGTTTTATATGTTGCTATAAGCAACACTCCATCTTGGGAACTCGCTCGAGCTAATGCTATTGCAGAATTACGTGGATGGAGGTAGAAATTTAATAATTACTTTTACTTGGTAGAAACTAAAGATGTTAAGTAAACGCTCATTTATCAACTGTACTTTAGGCCTTTCATTGATTGGACTTCAATCACGTTATAACTTGTTGGATCGATCTTTAGAATTTGTCTTACAACCTGCTTGTGTGAACTTGATGTGTGTATAAACTAAATTTACACTTGAACTATATATAAGAATTAAATACATATTTTAAAAGGTTGGAATTCTTCTATGGGGTGTCACTGTCGAAAGGTAATAATTAATTATTATCCCATTCTTTTATGTTAAAATAATAACGTTATATTGATTGTTCTATAATAGTTTTCTTACCGGAAAATATACGAGAGAATCAGCCGCTGTATTAAACCAGTATCTCGCGGTCTATCAGTTATAAAACATTCAAACATTGGAAAATTTTAGACGAAATTACTGCCATTCAAAAGATATTGGTAGAACTCCTGTTCAGGTAATTATCGCATTCAATCTTTTATATTAAAACTAGGAAACGAGAACCGTTGTAAGAAAACTAAAATTTGCGATTTCATTGGGTGACGATCACGTGGCGGACAGAGAAATTCATGTGATCGATTTTTTTTTCATATATTGTCCTCCGGACAAAAATATGAAAAATTATAGTTTTAAAATTTATAAATAAGTTGCTTTAAATTGGGTTCAACAAAAACTCTTCTACAATTGGTGCCAGAGCAGTCGCCCAGTTTGAAGAAAATCTTAGATCACTTGAATTATTTAAGTAAGTTTAACTATTTAAAAATTTTTTTTATTTTTTAAAAAAAAAATATATTTACTATCGTAAATTCAAAAAAAAAAAAAAA